AAAACAATTAAGCATCAAAATAAAATAAAAACAAGAGCAATCCATTAAGACATAAAAACTAAACATAAATAAACATTACAATGCACACCCTAAAAACAAATTATGAGACATTACATTAAAAATGGCTGACAACGGTGCTTCATTTAAGATGCAGCATAACAACCACCTAATACATGTAGATTAGCCAACAGTCCTAACCTCCTCCTCTGCATATGCTGAAGTGCATAGGTACATTTTTAGAAGATTTTTTTAAAAAAGAGATGAGGGTGAAAGCTGATTGTATTTCTTTAGGAAGGGATTTCCAGAGATGAGGCCTGATCACAGAGAAGGCCCGCTCTCTCGTTCCCACCAACCGAGCTTGTGACCGGGCTAGGATTAAGAAGAGGATCTCCTTTGTAGGCTGCAGTGCGTGTGAAGGTCTATACAGGAAAATGCGGTTAGACAAATAGCCTGGACCTGAACTGTTTAGAGCTTTATAGGTAATGACCAGCACTTTATAATTAGCCTGAAAGTGGACAGGCCACCAGTGGAGCTGACACAGGATCTCTGCATCCTCTAGATGCCTACTCAAAATTAAATGCCAAGGAGTTCAGTGTGGTAAGTATATAAGAATCCTTGATCCATGGACTGGTGGTGGTCCTCAAGGTGGTCCTGAAGCCATCCATTGTTAGTCCTGGGGAAAATTTCTAGGAAATAAATAAAAAAAAATGTAGTCAGTGGAAACAAATATGGTACTTATTCCTGGTGTATTTTGGGGAAAGATTGCCAGCTCTCCATATCAGATAGCTTTAAAAAAATAGTGTTGTATAGGATTTGAGCATCTGTCTAAATTTAGTCCTAGAGATAAAACATAGCACATCAGGGAGAACACAAAATAACTGAGATATTTGTGTATTTATTCAGACACATGGATCAGCACACCACATATTTGCAACCTTCAGTGGTGGTTGTTTCTGTATGCCTTCAAGTCATTGTTAACTTATGAAGACCCTAAGGTGAACCTGTCATGAGGTCTTCTTGTCAACATTTGTTCAGAGGCTGCTCTCGGCCTGAGAGCATGCCATTGCCATCCTCTGAGGCTGAGATAATGTAACTTTCCCAGGGTGGGTTTCCATGACTGAGTGAGGGTGATCAGATTCCTACTGGTGAAATCTTAGACCTTTCCCAACAGAGGGTTCCTAGCACTAGCCATCTTTTCTTCTTTCATGGACATAAAAAGAGAGGGAAGAAGTGGTTGAAAAACTCAGTTGATGGTGTGGCCTGACAAAAATGAGAAAAGCTAAATCTGGAATCACCTTTACATTAAATTTAGTAGGAAAATCCCAATTCATTTCAATGAAATAGATCTTCAGCCAAAGACTGTGCCAAACTCTCAATGGTTAGGTGCTGTTTCAACACAATAAGCTCATTCACTGTTGTATGTATGAAATAATAATGCATTTGTTACAAGATGACATGTACAAACTTCTTATAGTCTCTGAAGTCATGTGCAGTAATTAGTATGCTAATATTTTTGATTTAGCACTAACATAACTGAGTAGAACAGAGAACCATACAAAAGCAACAGGAAAACAAAAACCTTGGAAAGTGTTTGTTATATACTTTCAGCTTGAGGCTATTTTGCAACCCTAAGACAACATATCTAGGCATGTGTCATACCGGATAATACTGCTGTTTGGGTAGATAAGGACACTTGACTCTAACCTTTGCTTCACACCAGCTGAGCTGTGCAGTTTAGCAAGCAGGTTTTGGCTAAATTGTAAAATTAACCTTCTAAACTATATTCGTACATTTTATTCACAAGTACACATTTTATTTCTCAACCTGGCAAAGCCTGAAAAACAGGTAAGAGAAAGGACTTTTGGAATGACTGATCCAGTCAAGGCAAAGTTTATTTTGAAGTCATATTGATTCAAAAGGGAGATTTAAATCACATGACTAAATTAAATTTTAAAATGTCTATCATTTAATCTATCACACTAAATACATTATGCTATTAAAGTACTCACCAATTTGCTTCTTAACTATCTAGGACATGTTATACACTTTTGATTTCCACTGATTCCACAGAAGAGACAAAAACATATGGCCCTTCCAGAACCTGGGATCTGATCCCAGGTTTTCTGCTTTAAACTGGATTATGAGTCCACACTGCCAGATAATCTGGGATGAACGGAAAACCTGGGATCAGATCCTTGGATATAGGGTCTGTCTGGAAGGGCCCAAAGGTGTAACTAATTAAAATTATATGGAGTTAAAATACTCTCCTTTTTGCATTGGATTATTATTTAGTATTTCTGTTAACATTGTATTTAGATACCATAGCAAAAGCTGGCAACCAAAGCCTTCCACAGCAGTTATTTCCACAATCTTCCAGATTTTAGTCTCTGGAATAACTAGTTACAAAAGGAGATAGTTTACTTCCTAAACCTTTCTTGCAAAATATTTATGCTAAATATCCAGTGATCGTGTTTTATAGTGTTGACCTATTTATTTACGTCCATGCTATCATTTATATTCTTTGGATGGTTGTTTTCAGGAAGATTAAAAGAAATGGGGACACAAATCTCTTTTATCCACATACAGAGATGTACAAATGCTTTTATCTTTGCCAGACTTAACTACTGCTCTTCTTATATTGAGCAGGTTTCTAATTTTAGGAAGACAGGAAACTTCTCTATATCTAGAAGCAAGGCTGCTATTCTTCATTATATAGAATACCACATAAATCTATTATTGTGTCTAAGCACTGAATAATATGAAAGGG